GAATCATTAAGGTTGGAAGAGACCTTAATCATAGAATCATAGAATCATTAAGGTTGGAAGAGACCTCCAAGATCATCGAGTCCAACCGTCGACCCAACACCCCCAGGCCCACTAAACCTCGTCCCTCAGCGCCGCATCTACCCGTCTTTTAAATACCTCCAGGGATGGGGACTCAAACGGGGATGACATTCGCTTCAGAGGTAATGGCAGCCCAGCGTGCACAGATGGGATTTAAAAAAACCCCAGCGGTACGTGCAGAGCTGGCAGCAAAATATTCCCATACAAAAAGCTATCAATAAGATAACTTCAGAATGGCAAGAATAAGAAGTAAGACTAGATAAAAGAGTAAGAATGGCAAGAATAAGACTAGATCTAAGGGAGAAATTGTTTACACTGAGGGTGGTGAAGCACTGGCCCAGGTTGCCCAGGGAGGTGGTGGATGCCCCATCCCTGGAAACGTTCCAGGTCAGGCTGGACGGGGCTCTGAGCAACCTGATCTAGTTGAAGATGTCCCTGCCCATGGCAGGGGGGTTGGACTAGATGGCCTTTAGAGGTCCCTTCCAACCCAAACCGTTCTGTGATTCTAGGATTCCAGGATTGCAAGAAATTGATTATAGGACGGCAAGAATAAATTTATTCTAGATTTGCAAGAATAATGCATAAGAAGAAAATAATTCTAGAATTGCAAGAGTAATACATAATTCTACAAGAATAACACCTAATTCTAGAATTACAAGAATATAAGATGACAATCATTCTAGAATTAGAGGAATATTCCATAATAAGACAATCATTCTAGAAATACAAGAATAATCTATAATAAAATAATTCTACAATTACAAAACATTGCAATAATTACTCTTGTAATTCTACACTTTGTGTCCCAGCCCCTCTCCTCAGTGGGCACGGGCCAGTCGTGAAATTTGGTGACTGTTTCGTGCAATGTGCCACGGTGCGGCGTGCTCCTGAGGCTCCGGTACCGTCGCCCACGCAGGTCCTTGGGACCCGCAGGAGGAGGAGGGCGGGTCTGTGGCCGGCCCCCTCCTGCTGGCGGCAGCGTCCCCGTGTTTCACGGGCACCCTGCCACGGGTTTTGCTACGTTTCCGAGGGTCTCCGCTGCGCCTCATCCCTTGCAAGCTCTAAACCGCGGTTTTCAGGAGGCTGCTACCACCTCCTCCTCCTCCTGCCCAGGGTGGTACCGGTACGTGCAGGTTTGGGGGTGGTTTTACTTTTCAGTCTGGGTTAACACCAATACTCATTTCCCCAATTTTAAGTATTTCTTGCCCCAAGAAGGCAGCCTCCGCAGAGCCAGATTTAACAGCTTGCACAGCCGTGGGTCAAACTCCGGCAACCAAATTACCGTCCAGTTGGGATAACAGAGCTTCCCTCTCGCCCAGGCAGCATGCGGATAAACACATTAAAGATCGCAAAGCACTCGGATAATGCAAAGTGGCATTGGCAAAGCAAAGCCCGGCCAGTTAAAGAATGATCCAGTCTGCCGCTAGCCCAGCTTGCGGCAGCATTCGGGAGTATCGAATCGAGATCGGCCGTCAAGGCTTTTTCCCCCCGACGAGACGGGTAAGAACAGGTTCCAGTTGCATTTAAAAGCATCTCACATTGGACAGCGTCCCCAAATTCTGGGTGAGAGCCATCCGTGGCTTTAACCCGATGAGACTAAGCCCCGCAGCACTCGACTCCGCAACGTCCGAGGCAAACGGCAAATGTCTTGGGCACAGCATGAACAGAAGGGACCGGGGCGATGCTTCCGTTCGGGACGTGGTTTTACTGAGGGTTTCACAGCTTGACCTTTGCCGACTACGGCTGAGGTTTGCATAACCCAGCAAGTTTCTCCCAACCACCTGGGCACAACTGGTGGTTTTCAAGCGAGGCATTAAAAAAGAGCACTCCTTAAAAGAGGGAGGCTGGTCTCTGCCACAAAGTCGGTTTGATTCAATCCGATCGCGTTGCTACAAATAGGAAACGCCACGTAAATGGCCCTACAGAGTTCCCCACAAGTACGATAAATGAGGTAGAATAGTTTCTTAGGAGAACAAGTTTTGCCCGGTCCCGTTTTCTCTACGGAAAGCCCTAGACACAGCAGTTGGGTCACGCACGCTCCTGCGCTTGCAGTATCAGACGACGGAACTGTGCCTGTGCCTACAATGGCGTCCACACCTGCTAGCCGGCTTTTTCCCCGAACGAGCCCCGCGCGCCGATGAGAAGCGAGCTGAAGGAGATCTAAGAGACACCGCAGTCGTTCTTGCTGGCAGGCAAGGAAAACCGCTGGA